GTCGCCCTATCGAGCCGTACACTTTCTTTTTGATGTCGAATTTACACGATCTGACAAAATGTAAAATCTCTTGCTTTCTCCGATTACTTTTGTTTTAGCCACTTAAGAAACTTCTTTCGAATAATAACAGTGGTTTTAGTCACAGTGATGATGATGATGATGCTACAGCAATAAAACAGCTACAACAACTATGCTGCTGCTCCTGCTACTCATACTGTACATGTACTGCTGCTGATGCTGCCTCTGCTATTATTGTTGTTGTTGTTGTTATTATTAATTTTTTTATTATCATTGTTTTTGTTGTTGTTATTATCACAGCACGTACTTCATTCTTCTCCCGTCCGAGCACACACGCACACACATACACACAAGAGAGTGAGTGAGTGAGAGAGAGAGAGAGAGAGAGAGAGAGTGAGAGAGAGAGAGAGAGAGAGGAACACACATGTACGTCATGTTTTCTTTATTATACTTTCTTTACTTCAAGAAATGGTTCGCCTCTTAACTTTACAACACCGGATATCTGTGTCCAGTTGGACGATTAACTCAAAGCAAGTCAACGGGACTTGTTTACCGTTGCGCGTGTTCTTGCCTCTCTATTAATTGTTTGCTTATCGCCCATCAGCCTCGAGGATAGAGGGGATTGGGATGAATCTGTATGCGTTAACGGATGTGTAATTATGTTCCATAGTGAAACGTTTAGTGCTACTTTCTGGTTTGAGATCGTGAATTTTGTCAATGAACAGAGTCAATGTAGAAGAAAGTCCAGCTCTCGAAGTGAATGGAGAAAAAAAAATATATCGATGCTATCAGATAAGCCGGTGACACAGTTTTACTCGTAGACTCGTAGATTCAGAAACGGACTGTCAGTTGTTTCTGAATACTGTTGTGACGGAAAGTAATCGTAAAGGGTTATTTTCATAGGTGAAGAAGATATAATGCACGGTTGTAATATGTGGAAAAGCAGTAAGCCCTATGTTTACTCTCATAAGCAAAGGTGAAAAGATCGAAGAAGTTGGGCAGTTTAAAAACATCTGATGCTAGATGTTCCACGCGAATAAAAGGAACAATCGCAGTAGCTGAAGACAGTTTCAATAAAAAATGAATCCAATTCTGAAAAAAAATAATAACTTCTCAATAACAACCGAGAACATGGGATCAGCGCTTCTGTATTAGACTTAAGAATGCTGGGTAATTACCAAGAATGTTAAAAATGAAACAGAACCGACAAAAATGTGATCTTCTTGGAGGTTATTGAGAATTCTATTCAGGAAAAAGAAATCAATCAGTTTTACTTAAAGAAGACTGCGTGGGCGATCACTAATTAAAATCCTTTAAGAAGCGACAAATGATGTTTCTAAGACACTTGAATCGACATAAAAGTTTTGAGCTCTCAGTGGAAACAAATAAAAGGCATACGAAGCAGAGGTGTACAAAAGACAACTTTCTTTTGGGATTTTTAACAGGCGAGTGACAGAGAAAATCGAGATATAATAAGGGTTTTTGTTCTTTGTTTTGTTTGTTTGTTTGGTTTAGTCTTTGTGTGTGTGTGTGAGTGTGTGTGGGGGGGGTGTTGTTTGTTTTGTCTTTTTAAAGAATCCGAGCAGAGAAATGAATGACGAACCATGATATCCGGCGTGTGTTTCAGATCTAGTTCGATATCAGTATCCTTTATGATGATGGTGATGTTCAAAGTCCTTGTCAACACGAGAGAGAGTAATTAATTATCCATTGTCTTGCGATGAACTTGAGCTATAACACTTGGGGG